TCGGCCTCATCTCCTCCGGAGGAGGACGAGGCAACGATGAGCGCCGAGGAGAAGGAATGTGGAGGGAGGAGGAGGGGGGGGAGGAGGGAGAAGGGAGGATGAAGAGAGGAGGGAGCCAGGATGATGAGGAGGACGTCGGGCAGGAGGAGCAGGAGCAGGAGGAGGAGGAGGAGGAGGGGGAAGGAGGAGGAGGATGAGGAGGAGGAAAAGAGGAGGAGGGAGGAGGCGGAGGAGGGATGAACAGGGAGGAGGTCGGACGCAGGCTGGGACGCGGGTCGTGCTCTGTCTAAGGGAGGAGGAGGAGGAGGGAGGATGAGGAGAGAGGGAGGATGAGGAGGATGAGGAGGATGAGGATGAGAGGATGAGGGGAGGAGGAGGAGGAGGAGGAGGAGGAGAGGAGGAGGAAGAGCAGCAGCAGCAGCAGGAGGAGGAGGAGGACGAGGAGCAGGAGGAGGAGGGGAGGGGGGGAGAGGGGAGGAGGAGGAGGGAGGAGGGAGGAGGGAGGATGAGGGAGGAGGGAGGAGGGGGGAGTTGGAGGAGGAGGGGCATGAGCAGGAGGAGGAGGAGGAGGGAGCAGGAGGGGGGGAAGAGGAAGAGGCGGCGGCGGCGCCAGCAGCGGCAGGAGGAGGGGGGGGGAGGGGAGCAGGAGCAGGAGCAAGAGGGAGCAGGAGCAGGAGGGGGACCCTGGAGGCAAGCAGGGTCCTTCTTGGCATGGGTCTCGAAGTCGGCGCTGCTCGCGTGACATTGACGGTGCAGCTCCCGCGCGTGTCGAATGCTCCAGCGAGCGAGAACACAGCATAGCCCCAGGAAAGCGAGGCACAAGCAGCGCAACTCAGCATGCACGCAGTGGCCGGGGATCGCGACATATCCACGAGCGTTGCTCCAGCCTGAGAGGTGCGGACAAAGGACGCGTTGAGTGCACAAATGGGAACACCAAAAGGTACCGATACCGCCATTCCCCGGAACCTCTCCTGGGGTGCGTTCTGGCCAGGATCTCGAGGCGAATCCAGCGGTGGCGACGAGGGCCTCCCAGGAGGCCCACAACGCGGAAAAGGGCGAAGGGGTAATGAGAGGCATGGGTACCTCCTCCTCCTCCGAAGCGCTGCTTCACCCCGGCAGGTGTGGACACGAGGTCGCGTGAAGTGCACCACGGGCAGCACCACCAAGGCACAACGACAGCAAAAGGGCCCTCCATATGGGCAAGCGACGCGCAGTGACCCGCCACGGCCCGGCCCGCCGGGGACCTGGCGGATCTCCTCGAGCAGCGGCCGCGCCAGTGCGTGGAGGCTGGGCTGGCTGGCGGCGGGCAGCGCCGCCACCACGGCGACGAGGGTTCTCCTGCGCCCGGGGGGAGAAGGGGCCAGGGGAACAGCGACGACGACGACGACGAGGACGGCGGTGGCGACGGCGACGCCGACCACGAGGGCGACGATGACGACGACGACGACGACGACGACGACGACGACGACGACGACGACGACGACGACGACGACGACTGCGGCGACGACGAAGATAAGGGCGATGGGGGCGGCGACGGCAGCGACGACGACGATGATGATGACGGCGACGACGGCGACGACGACGACGACAATGACGACGGCGGCAGCGACGACGACGTCGATGGCAACGACGTCATCGTCATCGTCAACAGGTAGGCAGTGGTGATATGAGATGAGCAAGCGGCCTGAAAACAGGCTCAAGCGTCAAATTCATTGGGGCTATATTCGTTTCCTCCCCCTTATCAGGGGCTTCGGAGAAAGAGCCGAGGCCAGAGGTGGGGGGCCGGAGGCATGAGAGGGGGGAGGCTTTGACGTCAGGCGGGGCGCTGCGAACGGCGTGCCTCACAGTGCAGCGGCTGCCGCGGAGTCCCGGCGAGCTGAGACAAAGACGCGCGGACAGCCCGGCCGGCAAAGGGCGCGGCATGGGCGTCGCGCCCCTCTCCGAACCCCCTGGGGTCTTCCGACGCTGAGTTGAGGCAGCGGGCGAGTTGAGACAGCGGCAACTCACCCAGTCCCCTTCCTGGGAACGAGACGCACCGATTCTCCGGGCTGCGTCCGGACGAGGCCACGGTGGCCCTCCTGGAAAGCCGACGACCGCTGCCTCAACCCGCCCTCGGGGGCCGCCCCCGAGACAAGGAGGACCGGGAGGTGCCCGTACGCTACTCCCGAGACCCCTCCAGGGCCGCGCTGCGACCAGGATGTCGAGGCGAAGCCCGCCGTGGCGGCGAGGGCCTCCCAGGAGGCCCCACACGGGCAGGGCGAGGGAATCGCGGCGGTGTCGGTGCCTCTGCCCCTTCAAGACTCGGACCTTCGACGTCCCCTGGGGGGCTGGGGCGCCGGCGCTGGTCTCCTCCTCCTCCTCCTCCTCCTCCTCCTCCTCCCCCCTTTTCCTCCTCCTCTCCTCCTCTCCTCCTACCTCCTCCTCCCTCCCTCCTCCTCCTCCTCCTCCTCCTCTCACTCCTCCTCATATCCGCCTCCTCCTCCTACTCCTCCTTCGTCCT